CGGCGGTGAGCCGGCTAAAAACACGCTAAAAAGTATTGAGGTTTTAGTCTAATTCTGTTCACCTGCGCCGCCTCCAACAAGTCAACCCACCCCCGCCGAGGCTGGACCCTGGCAGCCCACCTGGAGGACCATCCGCAGCAGGAACTGTCCCTGTGACCTCTGACTGCTGGGAACCAGGTCCCCATCACCACCACTACCAGGTGACAGGCGTGTGACTGATTTTCACACTTTACAGAGGAGTAAGCAGCCTCAGCACAGAGGCCCTCAGCCTGGGCAAGCATGTGTGTGTGGTGGCACCTCCCAGTCACCAGGCAGGGCACCGTCTACTGGGACAGGACAGCTCAGACCTCCCCTTCCTACCTGAGCTCCTCCTCCAGATCACAATGGCTCCCGTGACCAGAACTCCAAGGAGAACCAGGCCAGCGACGATTCCCACGATGAGAAGGGGTGACTGAGGACGCGGCTCTGGGAAGGGAGGAGAGGGGAGGTGAGGGCCCTGACCCCCAGGTCTCTGTCCTGACCCTGCTGAGGTCTCAGGAAGGGCTCCTGCTTTCCCTGACAAGAGCTCTGAGCCCCCCTTACCCCATCTCAGGGTGAGGGGCTCAGGCAGCCCCTCGTGCTGCACGTGGCACGTGTATCTCTGCTCCTCTCCAGAAGGCACCACCACGGCCGCCCACTTCTGGAAGGTTCCGTCCCCTGCAGGCCTGGTCTCCACCAGCTCCATGTCCTGGGTCTGGTCCTCCCCATCCCGCTGCCAGGTCAGGGAGATCTCCGCAGGGTAGAAGCCCAGGGCCCAGCACCTCAGGGTGGCCTCACGGTCAGAAGTGGGGTGGTGGGTCACGTGTGCCTTCGGGGGGTCTGCGGGGAAGAGTCGGGAGATTCAGACATGGTGAGGCCCCTCCCAGTGCCCAGGAAGCAGCCCTGTGTGACCATCTGGTAGTGGACAGGACACCTGGGCTGCGGAGGGGGCCTACTAAGCCTGAGCTCAGGTGTCTGGGAGGGATCCACTCATTGGAAAGTTGTAGATTCAGGGTGAACAGTGCCCAGTAGGGTAAAAGCAGGGACTTCGGATCCTAATGCAGATGGAGAGACTCAACATAATTGGAGTCAACTCTCAGATTCACTTGGCACGAGGCCAAGAACAAGGCCCGAGAGTCACAGTGGACAAAAGTGTGGCTGCAGTCACCGCACCGCTGATGGACGATTTCATGTATGTTCCCCAGTGCATTCAGAGAGACTGAATTCCTTCAGTGATCTCAGAGAAAGGGGAGCTCTGGGCGAGTCACTCTGCAGGATCTGAACAGGACTCTCCCCTCCAGATGTGAGGGAGCTGCCTTATTCTGGCATGGATCTCACTTTCTTCCCCTCCGTGTGGGACAGCAGCCTCAGCAGGACAGGAGATCCGGGAACTCCCGCGGCCCCTGGTACCTGCGCGCTGCAGCGTCTCCTTCCCGTTCTCCAGGTAGATGCCCAGCCACTGCACGCACCTGCCCTCCAGGTAGGCCTTGTATCCCTCTGCCACACCAGCCGCCTCTGACTTGCGCTGGGTGATCTGGGCCG